GTTGTTCATTGTTTAAAAACTTAAATAAAAATTTAAATAATCGTTTGCTTGTTGTTGTTAGTTTTTATTTTTCTAGTTTTTAAAGCCTGTTTACTTTTTTTAGAAGAAGCTAAAACTAAGATGACTGGTATTATAGTTTTTTTAGTACAATATTTCTTTTTAGTAAAGTATTTCAGTTTTGTCTTTTTAGAACAAGTTTGTCATTCAGATTTGTTTTTTTAGATCATTTTAATCAAGTATTGTTTTATTTTTCAGCCGCCGTATTCACAACTCTCCGTTAAATTAACGGAGAATTTGAGTGTCCGTTAAGAAAAAAACATTTAACGGCCGGTTATAAAACGGAGGAAATTTAATGGTATTCTAATCATTCCGTTTAGACTCCGTTTATTAACTATTCCGATCAATTTTTCAGTTGAAGTTTCTCCATTAGAAAGCTCTGTTAACTAGTTTTAGTGCTGTTTTTTTCATGGCATTTAAGCGTTGCGATGCCAACAGACAATAAGGCTGTTTAATTGGGAAATCGCAGCCGTTGATTTTTTTATTAATAACTGCAGCGTAAATTTTAAAAATTTAATCAAAACACGTTACAATATAAAAAACTTTTATAATTTATGGCATAGAAAATATTAAAACAACTTATTGTCCAAAATGTCGCAAAACAAAATTATCACGAAATCGAAAGTTATTTTTAGCAACTACGTCTTCATTATTATTTTCATAATTTTCAATTAAATTGCCATCTATGTCCACATCATTTAACTCTATTGCTAAATTTTGCAATACAGCACACGCAGCAATTATGGTGCAGGTTTTTTCTAGGGTCATTCAAACCTCTCCATGAAGCAAATGAAACCGTCTTTTCCATCTCCAAACACTTGTTCAATTAAAACTCTTGTTCTTTTTTAAGATATATTATATATATATATGTTCTTCTTTAAGATATATTCACCTGACATTGAAGCAGCTCCATCATAAGACTGACCTCTGCATTTTTATTATATCTAAACCAAATTCTTTTAAAGTTTCAAGAATGTTGGCAGCTATGCTTAAACCACTTGCACCTGTTTTACATTCAGAAATGCGTAAAAAAACTTCCTTAATATTACTACTATTCAAGTGAACATAACGTATGACAATAGAAAGTTGTTCTATCGTTACACAGTCTGAGGTCTCGTCTGCAATAATGGAGAAGTACTTACTTTTTTTAGTATCATTTAATAAAACCTCTTCAATTGCATTTCCACAACACTCAATTAACTCATTTTGAATGGTTTTTGAAATATACGTGGAATTTTTGGGGGCAGAGAGAAGACGCTCCGTTAGAATTGAATCACCGACATCAACCCTAAAAATTAAAAGCTCAATGAAATTACCCAGCTCTGTAATTTTTAAAGATTCTACAATTTTTTCTTGACATTTTCTATCGTCTCTATGGCATCGTAGAAGCATATCATTTCAACCTAAAAATATTATAATCTTAATAATTGATTCAAGCTTTTTTTTTGTTTTCTTCTTCTTTTTCTTCTTCTTTTTTTTTTGTTTTCTTCTTTTGTTTTGTTTTCGCTGTTTTCTAGAAATATCTAGTGGAACATCAGTAGGAAATGTGTTATTTTTAACTCCAGATAAAAGCGTAACAACCCATGGACTTGATGTGTAATCCGTCAACAGTTTTCTTGTGATCGTTGAAAATTTTTACAGCATTACGCCAGGTATTAAATAGTTCTTTAAACAATTTACATAATGCATATTTGTTTGGTAAATTTGTACCAAAAAGTGTACATGGAAGACAATATGCAACATCTTCAGTTTTAGAGTAACAAAGCCAAGAAAAATCATCTAACCATTTTGCAAAAAATGTCTTTTTCTGCTTTTACCTGTTAAAGGAAATTGGAAGCATTTATCTGGAACCCAGAAATTATTAATTAGAAATAACAGTTCATGATCATTTGTTCCTGATTTTAATTTTTCAACTTGTAGATGGTATAATGAAACATCATAGTTTGAATAAGATGGTTTGTATTTAATAAACTAATGTCAACAACATTGCTTTCCTTTTGTGGAACATTAGATTCAAGAGTGTTTTTATCACTATTATTGGCGTTTTTGAGATAACTACTTCAGTTTTAACTGTTTTATTACAAATACTAAACTTATCTATATCTGAAGTGTTCTTAGAAACAGTAAGAAAAAATAATTGAGTAAACTTGGATCACTCATAACAACAGCTGGACGTTTCTTAGGATGATCTTTAACCAGTCCCACAAAATGATTTGCCTTAAAACTTAAAACACTTTGGTTTTTTGTTTTATCTAAATTGCACCACAAAATATTTATTGAACAATTTATTTTTTGGATGCGAGGCTTTATAAGAGTATTAAAAAAACTATGATTTTTTAACTATGATTTTTCAAACCCATTTCAGGATAAATAGATTCAATAGGTAGCTTTATAATATTAGATAATGCTATTAGACAAACGAAAGATAAAAATATTTTATCAAAGCAATTTAAATACTTCTTTTAAAAGAAGTTCAGAAATCATATTATCATTAATTGTTGAAAAACTGTCAGAGCATTTAAATGAAACAGCGATAAAAAATAATTAGAAAGCTGAAAATATTCAGATCTATGTTGATTAAAATAATTACAAAAATAATCATGCCTTGTGTAAAAATTTATGTTTTCAAATACTCAATTGATGTCAGTAATCTTAGAATTTTTGAAGTATGATTACTGTCATTTAAAATCAAAGATACTGAGCTATAAAGTCAATATCCATCTTCAGTAGACCTGAGAAAAATAGTAAAACATATTAAAATGTAATAATGAGTATAATATACTACTAGCAGTAAGCAACCCGTAATACGGGATATTAGTAAATAAAATTAAAAATAAAAACGCGTATAGAAAAGCCTAAAAATAGAAAAGCCTAGAAAATGACGTAAGTCGACTATTAACTACTACTATTAAATTAGCGTATTAATATTATTTGAAAATATAATATTAATAACAAAAAAAATAAATATTTTAACTGTATTAATTTTTTTTTACTACCAATTTTACATTTTAATATATACCATAATTTCTTATTAAAAAACTAAATCATATTTATAGGTTATTTGTATGTTTAATAAATAATACATTTTCATACACATCATCAAGAATATAAATCTGTCACAGAATTATATTCTTGATAATGTGTATGAAATTTAATTCTTAAACATACAAATAACTTATAAAAGGTTTCATAGTCATGATGTTATTATGAAAAATACACAGATTATCGGTGTTAATAATTAGATAAACACCAATAAACAAAAGTTAAAATCTAACATAGATCTTACATCTAGATTCAATTTGAGATATTATTTTAAATAAATTAAATTTTCATAAAGCTCAAAAGAAACAAAAAATACCTTAATGCTAAATAACCAAGACTTTTTTACTTAAGGGTACAAAATCCATCATATCTGTTAAATTGGTAAGAATCGTGTATTCTTGGAAACATTAAATTTATTTCCGAAAGCTCTTTAATGAGTCTAGTTTTGTAATTTAAGACATTAGACCTATGCTTTGTTTCTATTGCACAAGCAACTAAATCTTCAATTAAATATGGATTCATATTTTATAATATTTAAAAATCAAGTTACTAAAGTCACGTTATCTTAGTTTCTAAAGAAATGTGGAAAACAATATTAATAATAATATCACGGTAGCGAATAAAAAACCCAAATTTATTAGCTACTATATGAAAGAAGATTCTTCTAAATCGTACACGTTAAAACCAACTTTGTGGCCAAGTTTTATTTTCACGGTTGAAAGATCTATATTTTATTATTTATTTGACAGCAATTATTGATTGAATAAAAGGTCGGTAACGTATAATAGGAACCGTTGTGGCCATGGCAGGAATCTCTATGGCCAAATTACGCAAACTACGGTAGACGCAATGAAATTTTTAAGGGATATTCCACTAGCAAAAAAATCCAAAGCTATGTTGGCTGCCGTTAAATTTTATCTCTATGGCCATAAGCCAATAAGTGTTGTCCAAAGAGTACGTCACGCAGAGCTTATAAGTATTATTGACTCTATTTTGTAGAGATTTTTGAAATAATATAGCGATGATTACAATGAAGTTTTTAAAATTTAAATTTAGCGTGACGTAGTTTATCAACGACGAAAAATGATACGCAAATCCTAAAATTGCTTCAATTACATATAACTAAAAAAATTTTAAATATTAATTCAAAAAGTTCTAAAAGATTTTTGATAAGCATTAAATAGATTTTTTAATAAATCCATCTGACTTTAAACTATGTGGCCATGGCCACAATGGCCACCATTTAGATCCGCACCTCATTATGAAATAATAAACAACAACTTCGTTTGTTTTAAGGGATATTTAATATACAAAGACCATTACACACGAATAAATATATTATGATTTTAAAGTTGTTATTGGTATTTTAATTTTTTGATTAATTTGCGATTGTCGTTTTTGTTTATTTTTTATAGTCATTTGTTAGGTGTAGTTTTATTCTTGTCCTAACCCTTTTTTTTATATTTATGCATTATATTTTCTCTAAAACGATAATTATACTCAACTAATCGTGCGAATTTAACTTGCATTACCTTTCGTAATTACCTTTTGTTTAAAAATTTTGTGGTGTAAAACTTGTTTGATTTTATAAATTTGAGAACCTATTCTTAACGTACTAAAAAACACTCGAACTGAGATGCACACGCAAAAAACAACGCATCAAATATGCGATAATATTAGATAATATGCGATAGATATAATATGATAGATGCAACAAATAAAATAATATTAAGCAGTTAAAATATTTTTGAGAACAACAATGTAAAGCAAAAAACAACGTAAAATACCTGTAATTAGCAAAACAAAAACATATTTTTAAAAAAAGCATTTGGTTAAAAAATATTCGTTACAATTTGTGCGTAACAAATGTTACTTATGCTTTTATTGTTTCACAGTATGATTTACAATAAAACCGTTGGATTGGTAAAACCTTTTTTTCTGACAAAAAACATAATCCCGACAATAATCATAACAACGATATACAGCGTTCCAAATGTTATAACATAGTCAAACATGAATGGAGCAAAAATAAAACCTAAAAAGGCTCCTGCTGAGAACATTGAGTACCGAATACTGTCAACAAATGTTAAAACCTGTGATTTAACCATTTTGGATAACGTGTTGATAAAAAAAACGTCAGTAGTTATAGGAGCCCCTCCAAAACTAATCATATATATTATGCATAAGACAATGTTTAACGCTTTGTTAAATGGAAAATATGAAAGAATTATAAATCCTGCGCTTACAATACAGAAACCACCCAAACTGATAAACAGTAAAAGAATCATATTTTCATCAGACACTGGTCTCCAAACAAAAACCAGCAACAGAATAACACATATTCCGCTCATTCCAAAAAAACAAATGTTTATTTCTACCACTGATAAATGCATTTTCTCTATAACTAACAATGGCAACCATAGGTCTGCCGTAATAAAATAAAAGGCTACGATAAAATTTGCAAACAAAATAAGCGCAGAATCAAAATGAAAAAACAATACTTTTAAAATTTTGATAATGGTGTGTTCCTTTGAAACTAATGGTTGAAGTACATCTCTGTCGCATGTGTTGTTACAATCAACGTTATCTTGTATCATCGGTATTTTATCGATATTCTTATCAAAAAAAACATTTTCCTCATTAATGTTGTTATTTTCAAATGAAGCTTTGTAATCAAACTCTTTTGATACATCGTGCACCATTGTTAATGTTAAAATTTCCATTGCAAAACATATAAGTCCCATAAAAACACCAGGAAAATTAACATCTGTTAAATGCCAATGTCCAAGAAAAAAGCTCATGTCTTTAAAAAAAAAATTTATTCCAGGACCTAGCATGAATCCTAAGTATTGCATAACTGACAAAATTGATAGTTTTGAACTTGTTTTAGATGCTGGATAACACCGAATTGTTTCGCTAAGTATTACAGATCTCAACGAACCGCCAAAGCCAGCAATAATCCTTCCTCCAACTAATAAGACTGGAGAAAAATGAATACTGTAAAGTACATTTCCGGTAAGCATCAGAAAGTTGCATATTAAAAAACATCTTTTTACACTTCGATTTTTATCAACTTTTCTTCCTACGAATGGCATCACAATAGTAGATGCTAGCATAAATGAAACAGAAACAATACTATACAGCAACTTCGGCGATTTTGTGTTGATCATTTGTTTAATGTACAGCCATAATGTTGAAAGAGTAAGTGTGTACTCAATTCCAATAATAACCATTTGGATTGAAAATGCAATAAAAGTAAGTTTTCTTTTCTTTGACCATTTCTCATTTTGTTGCGCATATAAATCCATTATCTTGAACAATAAGGTTTTAAAATTCCCTTTCGTTAAACTCTGTGGTACAAAGCGTACACTGAATTCCGTAACAAGCAAAAACAAAACTGAAAATATACTTTTTTGTCAAAACGGTTCAAACAACCTTGCTTAAACCAACTCAAAACTTAAATAAAAAACAATGTTAAAGTTTTATATCTTCTTTAAACTATTGTAAGTAGCAAGATTTAACATTTGATACGATTAACAAATGATAATGCAAATGGGTTATTATTGTCAATATTTCATTATTTATTTGCATTTTTAGTGTTAAATGTATTTTTTTTTAAACACTTAAATATTAAAACTTAAACAATCAAATTCTTTCACAGATTATAACTAGAGCAACCAAAAAAACGTTTTAGAAAATATGGCGCCTGAGTTATATCCTTAGACCATATAAACTGATTAACACGGCGCTAGTTAAATAAAACTGAAGCCAAAATAAATTTTTTGCGGTGACGTCACTTTGTGGCAATAAACATTTTTCAAAAAAGAGTTAGCTCTTTCATTTATCTCATTTTTAAAATCAGTTTTAATTATGGTGCATTCTTGCAGTGCATACAACTGCACAGAAAGATTTAAAAATGGTTTAGACATATCATTTCATGGGTAAGAGTTTGTAATAAATAAAAAATAATTTAATATCATATAAATAATAATTTTGACTCATAGGCTATGACACACGGCTGTTTCAGAGTTTTTCATAACCTATGACAAACGGCTGTTTCAAGCAGCCGTGGCGCAGTGGTAGCACACCTCAAAAACGTAAGATCTGTGGTTCAAATCCCACCTCTGGGTAAGTTTTGCGACATCGGTTAGGAAGGAGGCGTGAACTTCCTATTAAATGTTCTTCCGCGGTGCTCTGTGATAAGACCGTAAGGACTTCTTGGGGCACCTTAATCAATTAAAAAAAAAAGAAAAAAAAAAAAGAGTGAGTTTTACGCCTTCTTGTTTTTTTTGACTTAGGGGGTGTTACTAAAACATTTAAACTTTTGAATTATTTGAGACAATTTTGTTTTGTAAAAATAATAAAAACAACAATAAAATGTTTTATCATACGACATTTAATACAAAAGTAAAAAAACTTCTTGTAGTTTATAAAAAACGCGACAAATGATAAACTTGGCTAAAATTTAGTAATTTGTTGTTACTTTTTATCAACAAAAAAAAACAGAAAAATATATTTCTGATAGTTATTATCAAATACACTTAATGTTTGACTATTACCAAAATAAAAAAACTTTACTTAATTGTTAAATTTTAACTAATACAATTTTTATTAAAGTCTGGAAGCAGACCGCATTTTTTGCAAAATTTTGCAAAATGTCGATTAAAGGGAGATTAGCTGTTAAATGAGTACGTTTTTAAATATGAAAATAATACACTAAGTTGATTAATTCAATGCATTACAATATAGAGCCAGATTTCGATTTTGAATTATTTAGTCTTAACATTTTAAGCTAAAGCTTTTTAAAAACTTAAGCAATTTCTTCCTATGCAACGGTTTTAATAACGTGGTGCTAGGTTGTAGATAAATAAAGACTCACCAAGTTTGATAAAATAATTCATGACCAAAACTGCGTTAAAGTTTTTGAATTAACCTCGCTTTTAGTAATAGAATTATTTTATGGCACTTGAATCAATCTCTTCTCACAAAAATAAAACTTTTGTTTAAATATACAAATAGCTAGCTAAGTTCATTTGTTTGATAATGGGTTTTTATTCTCATAAAAAACTGTCTAATAATAAGATCTACTGATAAATTCTTTAAGTAAAAAACGATCTTTGTACATCCAGTAGATAATAAATTCATGCTCCATTCTAAACCAGAGGAATAGTTTTTGTTCAAAAGACTGACAATAGTGACAAAATTTTGAACAAATTCTTTTTTAAACTGTATCTTTACACTAACTTGTTATTTATGAGACTTCAATTTTGTTCTTTATTCAGAGAGAAGGTATGTTGAGCAGAGGTACTGCAGATGTAGAACTAACTTCTAATAATTATCGAATGGGCATCTAATATTTAAATTAAATGTTACATATAATAAATGACAATACATTTATTTAATTAACTACAAACTAATATTGTATATCATAGTCAACAAACTTACCAGTTACTCTAATCATAAGTTAAATTAGTAAGCTATATTTTTACATTCATTTGATGCAAGACTTATATACCATTCTTTAACCTGGATGGTGTTGCATAAGTATAATTAACTTGTAAAGGTAAGAATGAAATAGGCACCTACCTAATATAAAAAATTATTATAATTAAAAGTAATAAATATTTTATAGTAACATTATAAGGACACGATAAAACAAAATATAATTTTTTTATTACTTTTTGAAGACCTTAAATATTTCATCTTAGATATAAAAACTTTTTTTTTTTAACTTTTTAATTATATAGACTAAATTTTATGACCACAAACAAGATAAAAGCTTTGTCTATAAAAGGAATTTTCATCACGCTCAGAACACACAACACACTTTCTCACTTTAGAGGCTTGAAGCTTTCTATCAGCTTTGCTGTGCAATTCAAAGCGTTTTAGAACAAGACGCAGCTTCTGCTCCTGATTTCTTACTGAATGCAACTGCCTTAATTCCTTATTTACACTATTGTGCAAACACTCTCCCTCCTCTTCACTCAACAACCCAATAGTTTTATGTAATTTTACAAATAGTGGCACATTAAAAATGAGTTCATGCATTTTTCGCGTGATACTTTCTTTTGGAAAGCAAGCATGAAATTCGATGGGAAATAAATTTCGGTATCAGAAAGAAATTTTTGCTCACAAAAAATAGGTTACAACTTATTAAAAACACTAAACACACGTACAAATCAATTTTAAATAGCTTCATAATCAATAACACTACACAGTTTATAGTGGTTTCTTAAGACTATTTTGCAATGATTACCTACAAACACATTACCATGGTACGCTTGTCGCTCAGCCTTCATATTTTCAAGGGCCTTATAAAGAGACCTCTCTTAAGTCCCCATGCTACTTTTTGATATTTTTTCTAGGTCTTCACACTCCATCTGCAATTTGATATAATCAACTTCTAAAACTTCGCGTTGTGCGCGTATAAAAGAAATATTTTCAGAAATATAAAGGTCAAGACATTTTATATTTTCACCCTGACATGCTAAACACTCATACATCTCTATGTCAAACAATACACTCTTTTCTGAATCACCAATAATTTCACAAAATTGATGAAACCATTTTTGGCACGTACCACACTGCACCCAATCAATGTTACAATCATATTTAGTAATTAAACACCTGATACTAGCACACATTTCATGCTGTTTACAGGTTGTTTTTTTTAATGGAGGAATTTAGGGATATGCTTTCTAATTCAGAAAAATTGCTATTAAAAGCTAACCATTGCGCCTGTAGATTTGCAACGTCTACAAATTGATTTCCTAATAAACGCAAAGTTTCTGCTGTTTTAGAACATTCAATGCTTTTAGCAGCCCACAATTCATTCGTTCTCACATTCACAATCTAAAGTTATACACTCCTTCAACAATAACTTATACAGTTTTAACACAATTCCTAACATAATATGCAAAACAGGTGGCACTACATTATCTAAAGTTATTATGGGGAAAATCACAGGAGCAATAATTGGTTTATGAAATTTACCTAAAGCTCTTAAGTTTCCACCTTGTCTATCTTCACACAAGTTCTCATTGTAAGCACATTCCAGAGATTGTATTGTCCTCCTTAAGATGTTACAATTAGCAGGTGTGTGAGGCATAGAAGCATGGTTTCTAAGAGAATTTAATTCAACTAGATCTGTAGAACTAGGAAAGCTAGCAGCTGAACCCTGGTGTCCCAGAACATCATCGATGAAATGAAAATCTCCACCTAAGAACAACTTGACTATTTTGCCTTTTAGTTTAAAATCTGGTGACTGAATTCTTTTAATGTCGTTGGCATAATACCCGAGAATTAAGGCAATATTCTCACGACAGTCTAAACCCTGATACATACAAAACAAATGAACATCATATACAGACCCTAATGATTAAGAATTGACAACTTAAAAATGAAATTTCATATACTTTCCACCCTTATCCCCAGCAAAAAGAAGCCATACCTCTTCGCCAAAACCAACATCCGAATTAAGGTGGTTACGTACGTGAAGACTAAACAAAATCTCTTCAATATAAGTTGTCAAATGCTTAACCATCAGTACAGATACTAAACAAGGTGTTTCATTCGCAGATGGATAAATTAACATGGACTTTATTGACATGCATTGTCCGCATTTCTTGGTCTTGTCTTATCTTGGGCTCAGAGGCAAGAATTCTTGCACCAAGATTACACAGAATACGTCTTAGCCTACGGAATTCAGACATGAGCTTCCTTATTGGCTCTGCAGCTCTACAGAAATCATGTATCAGAAACACTTAATTGCCTAACTAAACCTAACTTATTTGCAACATAACAATATATAGACTTTTCACAAGACACAGAATCACAAAACAACATAGACAAATCACTTTCAAAAACTGAACAAGCTAATCATCGAAGAAAGATAAAAGCAAGTTTAGATCGTCGAGCTGCAGCATGCCTACCTAACATAGAATAAGGTTTATCATGTCCTAACTTAATGTATATTTTAAGTATATTTTTTCCCCACTATTGGTTTTTTTACTGATATTGTCTGTGAATTACTTAATTTAAATCCACAGAACAATTCAGAAAAACCAATGTTTTCATAGTCTAAATAAGAATCAACAACAACAAAATCTTTATCACCGCTTAAAAAACGTTTGCAAATTTGAGAACTTTTCTGGTTGGCATTATTTTTTTCAAATTTAATTTTTTTGAGCAATTTTATATTTTTTGCACGAGCAGATGCAAATTTACGTTGTGATGTTTTGATTTTTTTTTTTTTGAAATAAGTTGGAACTGCTCCTCCTGTTTCAGTCTAATACTCATAGCCTCTAAT